AATCTCCCTGCAGATGTAGGCAATGCAATCCTCCTTCAGGGCGTTCCCTTTTGTGTTCTTTACCAGGTCAGTCACTGAACCAGCACCACAGAACTCCATCACCAGCTATGGTTCCAGGTCCGAGGGAAGAGTCAGAAAGAAAAACATGTCAGTCAAGGCCTAAGCCCCCCAGCTAGGCCCCTGGAGGAAGGTCAGAGGTTTGGAGACCAGAACTGGTATGAGGCAAACAACAGGGCTAGATGACCCCTTGGAAGTCACAGAACTTCCTGAGGTCAGAGAGAAAGGGGCACACAGCTGGGGAAGAACTGTAGTGAGGAATGAAGGTCTCCTCAGACTGTCAGCACAATGCTTCGGGTTATCATTCTCCTTGAAGTGTTCAGTGCTTTAGTCACACCCTCCTTGGACTCCCAAACTGGTTTACAATTACTGCTCTAGAGCAATTGGTGGCAACTACAGGGTGCTAAAGAATGTTGCAGTATTTGTTTTTAAAATTTGTTTTGAGATAGGGTCTCACTATGTAGGTCTAGCTGGAACTCAATATATAGATAAGGCTGACCCTGAACTCAGAGATCCACCTGCCTCTGCTCTCCGAGTGCTGGGATTAAAGGTGTGCACCACCACACAAACCTGTAAATTATCTTTGTGTACACATGAGGGCTACACCCAGCTTGAATGGTGTGTGTGTGCTGGCCCAATAAGGTTCCAGGGATTTATCTGCCTGTCTCCCATTTTACCATTATTGGGATTACAAGCAGTCCCTGCCATGATCAACCATTTATGTGTGTTCCTAGGATCCAAACTCATGTTCTCACACTTGGAAGGCAAATGCTCTTCCAACTGAGCTATCTCCTCAGCATGTTTTCACCACATTTAATAATTAGGGGGAGAAAACCAAAACAATCCCACAAATACCCAGAGTTCTATTTCATGACACATGAGAATAATACCAAATTTTTGTGACCTAAATATAAACCTGAGAATTAAGGCACAGTTATGTTTGGTTCTGTTTGAGTGAGGGTCTTTTTATGTAACCCCGGGCAGTCTCACACTTATGAAACTCCTGCCCTCAGCCTCTGTGTGAGCCACTATGCTCAGCTAGTCATGCTCATTTGTCTATGTACTATCTATTGCTTTCACAGAGTGTCAGCAGAACTGAGTAATGATAAGAGCAAACATGACCAAGAAAGCCTAAAGCATTTACTATTTGGACTTTTCACAAAAATGCTCAACATTCTCGATTCAGAGGCAAGAAGGGCTGAGTCTGCTAGGGAAGTTCATGGGGCTCCACTTAGTGTGCTGCTAGAGGGAGCAATTTTTTCCAACCGTTTTTCACTAAAATTGGCATCTAATTTAGGTTGGGACTGGTATGTTTGCTATGCAATCAAAGTTAATTTTCATGTGCCCCATCACCGGGACAGCACGGTGGGTGGAGAAGCAGTCCAGTACCCCATACATTAATATGAGAGTGTTTGGCCACTATTGCCTAGCTACCAGTTCCCAGTGGTCTCCCACTATACACAACTACGTGAGCTGCATGTGTCCCCCCAAATCCTTGAAGCCATTGAGACTGGAACTATGACTCATGCTCAAATTTGAAGGGTAGATAGAAGATGCTTATTAAACAGCTAGAGTCCAGCCGACTTCTAGCATGTTCTCCAAAACTCCCAATAGCCACAATGATGTCCTTTGCCACTCTCCCCTCAGCTTATGGGCCCAGTACCACAAAGGCTGAGGCCAGGAAATTGGTGGCACCAGTGTCCAAGCTAGGGAGCAAATGACTCTTAGGAATGATCTGGGCCAGGAGGTATTTATTTGTGTAGGCTCTGGTTCAAATCATCACCCAGAAGGGCTGTATACTGCCAGGATGGGCCTGAGTCCTATTGTTTCCTATAGCTACTTTGATTCTATGGCTCTCCCAAAATTGTTTTCAAAGGCACAAAGAACTTAAGAACTAAGCCACCCCTCATCTCCAACCACATCTTCTGGCTATGACCAAGACTCTATTGCTCACTCGTCAAGCAGTGCTTGCTGACCTGTCAGGGTAAAGTGCCAGGTGGAGGGGCCAAACACTAGGATTCCTGACACTAAACACACAAGGGAACAAGACCCTGGGCATACAGACTGAAAAGTAGAGTTCTGAGTGAGTCATGAGGCTCCTTTGGATCCATAATTAAGGCAGGGATGTTAGAACAGATATTGGCCTTGAGTTCCACATGAGCGGTCTGGAGCAGAGACGTCTGGGAGGGGCAGGAGGGGCATTTCTTACCCAGAGCTGGTCATCGTTCCCAGGGGGGCTTTTCTTGATAAAGGCCCCATAGTAGGTGGCAATATTTCGATGGTGAGAGTACTTTTTTAACATGTTGATTTCCTGTTTGATCTCTTCCTCCTCGTCCTAAGGCAAAAGGGGGAGGGGGGGTAAGGCCTGAGATCCTACAGTCTCTTTTCCATGCCAACCCCACCCTTCCCCACCTCATTTCCTACCTCTGTGACATCCATGACCTTAATGGCAGCCAGCTGCCCAGTCTTGACATGCCGACCCTGCAAGAAAGTCGAGTATAGAGAATGTGGAGAGGTCAGGTATATGCTCACTTAGTAAAATAACAAAGAGGAACTAATTTTGGGGAGAGCCCTGTCTCTTAGTGCTTTTCTACCTTAGAACATGCCCTTCATGTGGGCAGAAGCCTTGCTTTTACAGAGCAGAAGGCAGAGGGGAGGCCCTGAGCCATCACAGCTAATACAGAACAGCCTAGACATTTATTTCTAGGCTGTAAAGATAACGTTCAACAAAGAAGACAGCTCTTCTATACAACACCTGAGGTGCAGGATGGATGCCACTGCTCTGTTCCAGCAAGTTAGAAACTCCCATATCCTAATGCAGGCTGGAAAGGGGCTAACCCTCTCCTTCATCTATGTAAGATAAAATGTCTGGTGCTTTCCTGGCCAAGCCACTCTCGATAGAAGGCCTTTCCCTGGATCAATCTCATGCCCAAGGTGTTTTATGTTATCAGGGAAAGAACAGACTCACAGCTGAGTGTAGGAAACACAAGTAAGCAAAGGGACCAACTGGTGTGTGCTACACCTCTAGTCACCAGTCTTAATGGTGGGAAACCTTTCAGAGTGTTTGTGTCACAGCTTCTCTACCTCAATTCCAACCCCACCCCATCCACCCTTCTGAAATCCTTTGTTAAGAACTATCAATGGCTTGGACAAGAAAGTCCCAAGCTTCCTGAGCAGAGCAGGATGGGACAGCAGCCACTCATGGGAAGGACATGGGAATTGCCACCCCAAGTCCTGTTTTCTTCAGCAGCCACCCACGATCCCAAGTACAGAAAGGCACAGCTATCTATATGGACACGACTCAGCAGGAGCTGTGCACTGCCTGTTCCCCCAAAGCCCATGCTTACAAAAGGAAAGGGGTAGATGAAAGAAAGGCTGGTGGTCTCAGTGACCAGGAGACTCAGAGAGGCAAGACACCGGTGGAAAGAAATGTCAGGAGCCGTGCCCTGAGATAAGGAAGCAGACTAAATGTTCTGTGGACAGCACCCACCCTAAATATCCCTTTCATTGTGGAGACTTCATGTACGGGCAGAGCTCTGGCTACTTGAGAGGGCTAAGCTGGCCAAGCTGTAAAGCTAATCAGGGGTAGAGGAAATGCCACTTCTGTGGGAGGAAAAGCAGTTCAAAAGCAGGAGGCTGGGGCTCTGGCGTGCTCCCTGGGGCAAGCAGCTGCAGGAGGTCAAGAAAGCTGCTTCCTCTCTGCAGGCCACCAGTGAGGGCCCATCAACCCCAAGCCTCCTTGTGGGCTTGGGAGGTGTCAACCCACACTTCTGGCATGAATTGTGAATTTCCAGGTAAGCCCTGACACCCACATCCCCATGTGCTCTTCCTGCTTCCTATCCCACAACCATCAGCTGCAGCCAGGTTCCTGCCATACCCAGGAACATGTCTACACTCAGAGATGATGTCTCCCTTCTTTCTGTTGCTGCTCTCTGTAGTCTGTGCTTTTTTTCCCAATTTGAGGGGCTCCCAGCCTCTGTCATCTCCTATAGCTTCCCTCAGATTGCCAGTCCTGGGATCCACTTCCTCGGTTGCTCTAAAGAGGGCCCCACTGGTCTGAAGGTTGTATTTCTGTCCCATGTCTCACCTTGTATACCTGTCCATAGGTTCCATTGCCAACCACCTCCACCAGCTCAAAGATTCCTGCAGGGTCCTGGGAGGAGGGAGAAGAACAAGGTGTCATCACTTCAACAAGGACTGTGATGCTAGAGGGGAAGAAGCTGTCAATCAGGACACGAGTGGCAGAGAAGGGTAACACTTAGGGGATTGTGGAGAACTTTGATGGCTAGATGCCTTTTCCATGGATAGTCAGAGTTAATGTTCTATGGCAAGTCAGGAGGAGGGAACATGGAAGTCAGAGCCCAGGTGACTTTTCAGGGAGATGCTCTTCATTCCCAACTCACTGGCCAGCTTGGTATCTGTGCTTCCAGTAGCAAGAACAAACCCCTGGGTGGTCTAAACTTTCTGTGAGGTAATGCCCACAAAGCACAAGGACCCAGGCTGGCAATGTGTGCCAATAAGAGCTTATTATTGACATTAAAGGCAGAGATGAGGGGCTGGAGAGATGGCTCAGCAGTTGAGAGCATTGGCTCATCTTTCAGAGGGCAGGGTTCAATTCCCAGCACCCACATGGCAGCTCACAACTGTCTATAACTCTAGTTCCAGGGGATCTGACCCTCACACAGACATAAATGCAGACAACACATCAATGCAAATGAAATGAAAATGAATTAATTCAAACAGATGGGGGTGGCAGAGATGAGCTGTGCTACCAGGGGACAGGAGGTACCATCCTTTGGCCCCCTCCCCAGTCCTCTTAGAACAAGGGCCTCCTGATAGGACATGAAGTGTCTGGGGCATGTGAAGGATCCTCCACAAAAGGAGAAAGGGCCCCTTCCCAGTGGACTGAGTTCTGTTTGTGCACCTTCTCTGAACCATGAAGTGCCAGGAGAAGGCCCACAGGCTACACAAAGCTTCCAAGATGCCCCTCCTCCTCTCCTGCTGGTTCACAGCAGGCAGCCTACCTCTCTGCTACCCTACCTAAGGCCACCCACACCATCCTGGCAGTACTGCCCCTGACCCCCAAACTGGGAGGTGTGGCTGCAAGCTGAGGAGGAAGAGGCTTGCACAC